CCCCGGCGCCGGCTCCGGCGTGGTCGCTCCTCCTGGCGAGCTCTTCCTTTGCCCTTATTGCCACAAGTCTTTCCGGCGCCAGGCGTACCTGCGCAAGCACCTGGGCACCCACCAAGCTGGGATCGCCAGCTTCACCAGCAACTCCTCACCCCCTCCCCCTCCCCCGCAACAGATCGCTTTTTCCTGCCATTTGTGCGGCGCGCACTTCCCATCGGCGGACATCAGAGACAAGCACCGGGTATGGCACGCGGTGCGTGAGGAATTGCTTCTGCCATTGGGGCAGCCTGAGGGCAGCGCTAATCATGGTGAGCAGCAGATCTTTTCCTGCAAACACTGTCCCTCGACTTTCTTCAGCTCGCCCGGTCTCACCCGACACATCAACAAGTGCCACCCCTCCGAGAACAGACAGGTTCTTCTATTGCAGATGTCCGTCAGGCCAGGCTGCTAGGCTGTCCAGCAACCACTTGATTCTCCTCTCCAGACTGAACTGTGAAATTGCAAACGTTATGGCTAGAAATTTGCCCGACTGTACAGAGCAGGTGCTCGGACTAACCGATTCTCCCGTTATTTGGAACTGTATTATGTGATATTTCCTTTGTCCCCAAGCTTTGTTCCTTATTCTTTGGTGACCCAAACAAATCCTCTCCAAAGTGTAATTCCAATGGAAAATCACAGCCAAGAGGTATCACCATATTTTGTGTCAAGTCTTTTTAGTACAGAAAAACCAATTATTCTTGACAAATTTTCCTTGCTGCCTTATAGTGGGATGAGAGTATACTGCACATTCTGTGAAATACTGAACTCTTACTGTTTTCATAGTGAACTCTTACCATTTTAAGAAGGAAGCCTACTTTCTGCTTTAGGACTAAAAACATGGTATTGCATTGAGAAAGGAAAAACACTTTTCTGGCTGTGCATAATACTATAGCTAAACCTAGAACCAACTGTGTGCCTACCTGTGAGTAAATCATCTGGGGAAAGTGGGACTGTGAATATTTAATTCTGGTTACTCTTGTCCCTAGGACCTTTATTACATCCCAACACTGTTTAATTAAAGCTTAATAATTTTCTAGGGGGAGTAGTAGTAGTTATATATTTAATTAGTGGAATTTGCCTAAGTTTTAAAAACATATTAGTTTTTGTAGCTGTTTTGTTCATTGTGTTCTGTATTATAAAAATATATAGTCAGTTATTCATAGCAAGTCAATGTCTGATACAAAATGCTCCTTCTGTCTGCTGTTGCTCATTACTGGTTATTAAAATCAGCATTAATTTTTGTTTCCTGAGTATATTGTGTAAATTTTCAAGCTCACTAAAACACAAATGGTAAAAGGAAAACACACACAGAGGGATTGGAGGGTTACTTTAAAATTCTGAGTGTTGGGATGGTAGACATTCTTGAATAATAACTTTAATGAGCACAAGAGGTTGTTAGCCTTTTTAAATTCAGTGCTCTCCATCCTGCATGGAAAGTGGTTTTGTAAAATTATCATCCTCTAGCTCTTTCTCCTGGGCCCTTGGTTAGAACCTGAATCACTGGAAAATGCCCAGTTGGATGAACAGACAATAATATGAATGAAAACTATTTACAATATCATTTAGGGATCAGCCTTTTCAAAACCAAAACCAAACTTTGAACTGGATTGTTAGCTAAAACATCTCCCTTGCTTCCAGGTTTCAGTTTGGTTTTGTCTGACAAAATATTTGGAAATTAGGCTAGCAGGATTACACTGTTGTCCAACTTCACTGATATATTTTTCTAAAGATGACTCTTGGAGAATTTTCTCTGGATTTGGGTTTTGAGTTTTTACACATCATTGTAAAGTATTAATATTTTAGCTATGCTAGTCAACAGGTATGGTTCAAGGAAATATTAGATATGGCAAAATACCTTTTCACTCCAGCTTTATTTACTTGTCAAAATTTCCCAAATGTTGCAATCTGGAAAGTTGAAAAATGCAACATACTACATATACAATAATTTCAATATACAATTTGCTTAAAACAGTAGACAATGATTTTAGCTTAAAATACTAAAAATAAAGCCTCTTTTTAAGGAGGGGAAAAAACGAGGAAGCATTATTAGTTGCTTCTAGCATTAAATGCTGTACTTTGGACTTTATGAATACTGTTTTAAGCAGAATATGTGTTACGTGAAGTAAATTTATTAGAAAACTACATTTGGAACAAGAAAAGACTAAAAAGGTTTTGCATTTGAACAACTAAATGATCAATGATTCCATGCTATTTTCCATTCTTTTCATTATATTTGTGCACCCAAAAGGTTTGCATAAAGGTTTTTGTAATGAAATACAGAACACCAAAAGTGGTAAGAATAATTTTATTGTATTATTAAATAGCATGTCTTTTCTTCAACCATTACAAATTTGTATATACTACATAGCAAACAAATACATCAATATATATTTCTATAGTTGCCCAGGTGAGGAACATATATTTACACATGCAGTTAGTACCAGTGGCATGCTACATTTTGTTAAAGCATAATATGGCAAACAACACAGTTGTATTCTTCATTATGAAAATATTTCTGAGTAGTAGTGGCAAATTGGAGTGGAATGTATTTGTGTATATATCTGCTATTATGAGGGCGCAGCCTCCCCCCTGCCCCACGTTACTTAATTGAAAGCAAATGATTGAAGTGGCAAAGTGCTTGAAAACAGGTGATTGTACATATGTATACTTACACAGGTATACCAAGGGACAATCTCAGTTTTTGGAGGAAAAAGGTTATGCCAAAAGAGCCAAGTGAAAAGCAAATGTTAGCAAGGAAGTCGGAAACTGTTGATACTTAACAGTAAATGCTTGCTCTTAAGTCTGTCCAAAAGTGAATGAGAATACTGGAGCTGATGATTGGTCTCTGTTAACTTGAACAGGTTTATTCTTATAATATACATACTCTGTACATAATTCTTGAATTCTAGTGATATTTGTAGAGAACTCTGGAAATACATCCTAGTTTGAAAAGTATACATGCATTCCTTTGAAGATGACATCTTTAATATTTTGAAAGGGTTACACAATAAATAAGAGTGGAACATGCCTGCAGTTTCCAGCTTCAGGGGTGGCTAGTAATTAATCACAGATGTTAAAAGAGTTGTTAGTTTCCTCTTACAAGGAAAAGTAAAAAAAACAACAAAACAGTGAAGGAAATACTCTGCACTGATAAACTATGATTAGCAGGAAGCTGAATATTCTAACAAAAAAGCTAAAATATTTTCACTTTGAAATAAAATTCCAGTACGTTTCTTTAAAATAAAAATAAGAGCAGAGGAATGAAGGAAAAATATTCAGCATAGAGGAGAGATTTATATCTGGGGGAAAGGGGCTGAAGGCTTTACCCCTCACTAAGTCTTGTAGGCTGAGCCAGAGGATCGCCGCAGTTTCATGGACATGCGACTCTTGCTAGTCCGTGGAGAAATGGGGAAAGCTAGATCGGACCTGTCCATCTGCGCTGCTGCTGGAACTTCGGACGCCTGAGTCTCGGGGTAGGACCCTATAGAAAACAGAAGGACCTCACATATTAAAACAATCTGATTAGAGAAGAGATTTTGCAAAGTGCAAGCCCTGAACAGTATCTGCTTTTTTGATCTGTCCTATCAACAGCAACTCATCTGCCAGAATCATTAACAAACCCATCTATTTTCTGTGGTCCAACAAAAATTATGAAGTGGACAGTCTAAGTTTCAAACAAATTAGCTTAGACAGTCTAAGTTTCAAACAAATTAGCTAATAACAAAGGACGGGGAGTTATTAAAAAGAAGCTAGAATGGCATCTAATTTGTGTTCTACATACAGTATATATTCTTATAGGATTCAATAGGGCAGAAGTGTGAATAGATCATGCTAGCTGAATGTACTACATGATTCATTATCTTTGTAAAAGGAACAAGATAATTTTGACAGGACTTGTAGTATTTTTTGACCCAAAAGCAGAGTAATTTTCCTTGGATCGGCCCCAAGACAAATAGCAGAAGCAATAGGTTAGATTAACACAATTATTGCAAAAGTCAAGATTCTGAGGCATGCAAAACAGACCAGATTTTATGTATATGATCATTCCTGCAAGTTACAGATAAGGTTCCAGCTGCCAGAAAGAAAAGGTATTTCTTTCTTTCTTTTGCCTTTTAAAATAAGCTGCAGATCAAAACTCATGTCTGCATGCACTTACAAAGATATATGTTATTTTTTTAAGAAGTGAGAGGACATGGCTGACAGTAGCAGAGATCAATGCTCAGGCACCAGTTGGCTACT